TCATCAAAGCTTTATCCATCCTCGAAATATCACTCATAATTCTAATCTCGTTTTTGTTTTACAGGTGCTGTCAGTCTCTGAGAGCCTGCCAGACCTAAAACAAGCACGAAGCGTTAATTATTTGTTAAACTTGCAGTATCGTCTCTACAAAAAATGCTTTTTACGCACGCCAAGTATTAACAATAATTCATCCTTTTGTGAGTGTTAGGCTTGATGAAGCTGTCAGGGTTAGGACCCTAAGCCTTTGAATTATTGATGAAACTCGCTCTAACGTCTAACCTAAAGAAGGACAGTACGTACACGCAGTCTCAGCAATAATTCAACTTTCAGTGAATGTTAGGCTTTACGACCACTTTCCGGGTTAGAACCCGAAAACCTTGAATTATTGATGAAACTCGCTCTAACGTCTAATCTAAGAAAGAATAGTACGTACACGCAGTTTCAGCAATAATTCAACCCCTAGTGAGAGTTAGGCTCGACGATGACTTTCAGGGTTAGGACCCTAACTTTCAATTATTGACGAAACTTGCCCCAGCGCCTAATCTAAAGAAGAGTAGCACGCATACATAGTTCTGCCAATAATTACCAAAGAATAACAAAGTTAGTCCCCAAACTAATTATTGCTGAAACTCACCCAAACGTTTAATCCAAAGAAGAAAAACATGCACGCAAATTTTCCGCAATAATTAACGAAGAATAACAAAGTTAGTTCCCAAAACTAATTATTGCTGAAACTCACCTAAACGTTTAATCTAAAGAAGAAAAACACGCACGCAAAGTTTCCGCAATAATTAATGAAGAATAACAAAGTTAACTTACAAAACTAATTATTGCTGAAACTCATCTAAACGTTTAATCTAAAGAAGAAAAACACGCACGCAAAGTTTCCGCAATAATTAATGAAGAATAACAAAGTTAACTTNTTATTGCTGAAACTCATCTAAACGTTTAATCTAAAGAAGAAAAACACGCACGCAAAGTTTCCGCAATAATTAATGAAGAATAACAAAGTTAACTTCCAAAACTAATTATTGCTGAAACTCATCTAAACGTTTAATCTAAAGAAGAAAAATACGCACGCAAAGTTTCCGCAATAATTAACGTTCCAAACTCAGATGTTACACATGGACGCATCGCAAAGAAGTACAACACACCGAGGTAAGTACAATAACTTGCTGGACTATGTGAAACATTCCACTCAACTATCTTTCACACAAACACCAACGATCTAACGAAGCTTACTCATAAAGTCGTAACGATAACTACACACTGCTCCGCAAGTAAATGTTTTTAACAAGTGTCAGTTTGGCGAGTAGACCCCCTCTACTTGGGTCCCTCTAAAGGAAAACAAACAAAAAACGCTTTGACTACACTTTGGGCATTATGCACCCCGGATCTGTATCCTTAACCAAACTTAAACATATAAAATACAGTCCGCTCAAAAATAAAAACAAAACAAAAACAAAACCATCCATTGATTCACCACCACAAACATTTTACATCTCTTTTAACGTCCCACTTCGTCGCTTGAGCCGGTATTCCTACTTTATGTCCTCTCGCTGGCCTCCAGACTCTCTTCACGACGGGCGGATGCGACCTCCGAAACCGTCGGTTGCAAGGTTAGGTTTTGTAGGGGGGTGCAAAAGGGCGCAGCTCTCCCTGCCTATACGTTTACAACGCGAACATTAATAAAGAATAATTTTGTGCAATAATTGATCTTAACTTGTGTTTGTTTCAATTCGAGTGTATTGAGGTTATCACGCATCACGTTACACATTGTAATATATACGTAAATGCAATAGACTTAACGTTCTAACATAAAAACGTTTAGAGCTAGGTAATTGAATATCATAACTTTCTTTATAGAAAATCGAATTTCCTACATTTCTTGTTTGACAACTTTTTGCATAACGTGATTACTTTCTGAGATAATTGTAATAATTGTAACAAACCTACTTTTGTTTATAACTCGAAAACGAAAGCCGACCGGCGGTAACATGTATAAGGAAAACTTGTTCAGAATAACGTCCTCATGCATTGTTGATTGAT